GGTATTTGAACTGTGCATGAAACAGCAAACTTCAAATGAGACAACAGGTAGATAGGGTTACCCGTTATAAGGAACCGACTAGTTACTTTTAGAGAAACTAGGGGTTAGGACACAAATTTAGCTGACAAAAACATTTTCCACCGCATCTCCTTTTGTAACTTACAAATAAGTAATGAATGTTTTACTGAAAAATAAAGAAGTGAGATTCCATGTAAGGAGCCGTAGTTGCTCCCTTCAAAAGGGTTAGGCTTTCGTGGGGTGCACTGTAATGTTCTAAGCTTCTCCTTAATAATGACATGTAAACATAATGTTATAGTTTAAGCCATGGACCACTAGAAGCCAGCTCATTAAGATTTAAGTGAGGGTGAGTGGTTGTCAGTGTGGTTAAGACCACACTGCTTGTGGTAACCTCATTTCATACCACAGTCCTTAGGTTTGAGTCCTGGTTCTATACCCAGTTCTAGCTTCCTGCCTGGGAGGCAGAAGGTAATGGCTCAAGCAAGCACTTGGGTTCTAGTTAGCCATGCTGAGTTGCGGACTCCCAGTTGTGTCTCCTGGGGAGGAAACACCAGAGAGAACTCAGTCATTTCTCTCTGTTCTCCTCGCTCTGGCTCTCATTTTCGCGCTTTCTCTGTCGTTGATTTCTGCCCCTTAAAACAATAAATAAGATGATGTATATTTCTCAAGGAACTTTTTCTTGCCCATGAAAGAAGGGACCATAGCTGTGGTGTGACCTGTACCCAACACTGTGTCTGACACTTAATATGACTTGACTAATTCATGAATGAATGCCACGGATTAATTAACAAATGTGGTCAACAGACAATGACATCTTGAAGTCACAAACAACATAAAAGATTGATCCTATCAAGAATTATTTCTAAAAATAATGACTTCTAAACATGAGACAAAAAATATAAAATTAAAGAAATTATGTAGACACACACATTTGTAGCAATAAACATGAGTCCTTCTGATACTGAACTTCATAAAATCACAGCTAAACTGAGTTCTCTAGCGTTGGTTAGTCAGAGGAGGAAAAAAAGTTTCAACTATTTTTCAACTCCTGGTGCTAAGATCCCTGGACCACGCTCACAGATTGAAGCCATTTAGCACAGGGTTTGCCTTTGGACAGCTGTCTCTGGCTACAGCTGTCAGCTGAGAGGCCTCTAATTCCCAGGCTTCGTGGTTGCTCCCGCGGCCTCCCTGTGTCTATTCCTTGCAGCTTCTGCTTTCTGCTGCAAGTCTCAGCTGCTTTGTTTTTCATGATCACAACACAGAAACCAAGAGAAGTGGAGAGAGAGCACATTACTGCACTCCATACGACCTCCTAATGCTTACAATTGGGCAAATTGTACCCACTAAGCCATTGCTTGGAGAATGTAGTTTATTCATGAAAGTCATTTTTTTCCCCTCCTGGGCATAGAGCTCACCTATGTTTCCTAAGCTCCTTTGCTGTGAGGGAGAGCCTTCTAGCTGAGTTCTGGCCAGTGGGGACAGACACCTGGTAAACTCTGGCACTCAGGAAAACAGGAAGCCCCCTAGGTCGGCATAAACTCAGGCTCCTGAGCTGTCACGAGGAAAGAAGCTACCCAGGAGATGCATCCAAGCAGACAACTCCATTGGGTGTTTTGATGTTAAAAAAGCAAACAAACAAATACAAAACTAACTTTGTATTGTTTTAAATGGTTAAAACGTCTATGCCTTTTGCTGTAATTCAAAAGCTTGTAGCTGAAAGTGCAGGGCTCAATGATGAGGTAGTGAATGGTTTAGAAAATTGCTACTAATGGCTGGAATGATAAATCCTATGCCACACAGCAGCCAGATACTATGAAAATGTGTTACCTACAGTAGCTTGTAAGTAGATTGTCCTGAGTCAGAACTTGAGGGGAAGTTGTTGGCAATGACTGCAGTGCTGGGGAGCTGCCTCCATTATTGTCTTTGTTGATGTTTTATGGGAAAGAAATGAGCTCAGGAGCAAACTGGGTGGTTTGCAGGTTGAAATAAAGGAGTAGGGGATCTTGGGTGTTGAAAGGTTGGGAAAGCTGATAGCCTCTATTCTCAAGTAGCAAGAGATAAGGCTTTGAGTAACAAAGGGGTTAAGCCTTCAGGTAAACCAAAGGCACAGGGGGCAAAGATCAGAATAGCAATGCGGCTTTCCATTTATTCTTTTAGATGGACATGGGCAGAGGCTGTTAAATTCAGGGAGAGAAGGTTAGGGTGAGGAAACAAAGAATTTAAGGCAGATTTGAGAATTATACCTAGGTAGGAATGTAGGAGTGTTAAGGTGTACAGGGAACTGGCTAGAAGGTTATTATCTCTTGTAAGCACTTTCACTGCCAAAGATCCCATGACCATATCAATCAACTTTGAGTCCCAAACTTGATCCAACAGGAAGCAATCTATAAAATGGAGAATGTGCTTCTATGTGTTCCCTGTGAATGTGATCAAAACACGTAATGGATAAATGGGAACCTCCCAGAGCTGGAGAGAACAGGAGAGCTGAGTGGGTAGAGACCTTTCTGACGGTCTATATGTGAAGATTTTATAAATGCATTGACAACAAATTGCTTGGTGTCTTTATTCTTCTCTTTATTGTGGACAAACAGTCATTCCTTAATTGTTCGACAGAGACAGGTAAGAAACAGAGACAAGGAATTTGCCTTTTTGCGACCATAAGAATTATATGTGGGTCTCTTGGAGGGAACTGTCATGATCAGAGGATCCCGGAGCTTAGACAGGATGCAAGCACTGGTTGTGATTTAGGGTTGCTGCACAGGGAAAGGTTGGGAGAGTACAATGTTTGAGAGGAAGATAATTTTATGAATAGAAACACAAATGGAGGTGCATATAGTACCGCAAACCCACATTTTCCTTCTTGAAAACACAGATAGATTACATTTCCAAGTCTACCGTGATGTTGGCAAAGCCATTGAAATAAGCAATCAATTGCCACTTTCAGTTCTGTGTTTTAACTGTCTCTTCCCCTGATCTCTCTTGCTTGGCTGGCCAGAGGAGGAGAGTGGGGGGCAGGGAGATTTCTACTGCAACACTGAGCTGTGACATGGCACACACTTCTTAGGACAGTTACTATCTGGCCCTTTCCAGAACAGCTTTGCTAATGCCAGCTCTAAAGGAGCCACTGCATAGCAGGAGCATGGCTCCTTAATCCCCACCTGCCCCCACTTGAATGACAGCCAACAGCCCAGGGTTACCCATGGCCAACTATTGACTAAGCTAGAGATAAGCTTTCATTGTAGTAAGTCATTGAGACTTGGGGTAATTAGTTACAGCATTCCACTTACCCCTATAGAACCATGAAGACAGGAAAGCCCTTTTTGAATATAGATACCTAAAAACTTCTCATTCATTGTGACACAAGTGTCCTTCAGTCCCAAGGAGATTCTCCTAGAATCCCCCTAGGAATATCGAAAATCAAGTCCTCCACATAAATGATAGAGTATTTGCATAGGACCTAAACAATTATCCTGTCTACTTCATATCATCTATAGATTGCTTACTCTATGCAAATGCTATGTAAGTAGTTATTCCAGGAGTAATGACTGTAAGAATTTGCACATTCTCAAGTGCAAGTGCATTCCGCCCTCCGCCCTCCCCCCCCCCCCCCCCCGAGTACTTTCAATCTATGGCTGATTTAATCCTTGAATGTGGAAACCATTGTTTTAGAGCCAATAAACTCTACTTCTGAGCATGGCTTCTGCCAGGCAAAAAGGTCAAAGTCATGTCCTCAGATCTTAATTCAGGGTCTACTTGTTTTGTTGCCAGCTGTTTTGTACCATAATTTGATCTCAAGAAATATCCACTTTCAAGGAACTGTGATATCTTTGTCAGTTATATGATTTTGGAAAAGGTACTCTTCAATGCACGGAATAAGATTTTTGCCCATGCTTTGACCAATCACACTCCACTGAAGATCTAGTATTTCCTTGACCCCCTTACTCTTACAGATGACCTCATCTTGGACTTGATTTGCTTCCTATATCCAGAGGTTGTTTTGGTAAACAAGACCTGCCTGCTGCTTTCCTTATCTTGTAATCCTTCACAGACAATCTGGACTCTGCCTATTGACCTGTATCTGTGCCATTTACTTATCTACACCACTAAGCCAAAGAACAAAGGTCTGCCTTGAACCTTTTCTTCCAAGTCGTCAGGAGCTCTGACTTTTTTGTTTGTTTGTTTCTCTTTTTCCTCTTCTCCCTCATCTGCTTGGTAATGCCTGGTTCAGCTCCAGCTGTCTCATTTGGCTTTCCAGAAACCTGTTCCCCTGCCTTACTTTTTTTCTGAATGTCACATCCAATACCATCTTTTGCAGTGACAGTTTTTACCATGTCTTTTCCCTGATTAAAGCCTTTGTGTGATTTTCCTCGCCTCTTGGGATACAGCCTATGCTAGCCAACCTGGCTCTTGAGATCCTGCTGGTGTTGGTAGCTTACACTTATGGGCATATCACTGTGTTCCAAGAATTTTAAAGTGTTCCTGAAAACGTTGAACACTTGAAAAGTGTATATTTTCAAAGTGTATATTTTTCAAAGTGTGTATTTTTGCTAACACAACAAGTACAGGAATATTAGAATTATGAATGGGTGAAAATAAGAATGTATGCCAAACAAAAAAAAATCAATCAAAAATCCAAGCACTCAGGAACAAAATTACTATTAACTTTCAGTGCATATTCTTTTAAGTTTCTACCAAGCAAATATGTGTGTTTCAAAACTACGGTGAAACAGAAAGAGAATTCCATCTGCAGTTTCGTTCTCCAAATGCCTACAATCACAGCGGGATGGGCCCAAGGCCAAAGCAGGGGCTGGGAATGCATCTAGTTCTCCCATTTGGATAACAGGAAACCAGTTACTTAGACCAGGATTTGCATTAGCACGAAGCTGGCACCAGGACTGGAACCCAAGTGCTTTATTACAGGAACATCCTAACCACTAAGCCAAACACCTGCACCTGTGCATCTTATTTCTTCACTTAAACTGAAGACTTTACTCTCAAGGACTATTCTTGAACTCAGTGCCTGGAGGCCTTTCTGTGATTGTGTAAAGCACTGCCAACATTGGGGGAGTGGGGGACCGACGCAGCATTCTCTCCTCAAAGTGAGGCCGGCACTTGGTCTTGCTTTGCTTTACTGCCAGTTGTCACTGGTGACTGTGCTTCTCTTCCCGTGGGAGAGTGGGGGGAACAGAACGCCCTCTAAGTGGCTTCTGTTAAAAACAAACAAAACAATAGAGAGTTTATAAAGCACATATTTTTATAACCTTGTTGTTTCATATTGTCAATACCGGTGGGAATGGAGTTACAATGTCATTTTAAGTGGCCACATGGTAGCCCATTGTATGAATATTGTAATTCATTTTAACTAATCCACTGCTGTTGGACATTTGTATTTTTTCTATTTGTTATTGTTGCTGAAATTGCTGATATTACTATTTTAAACAATTACACTTCTTAGTACATATATATCCTCCTAATCTACCCAATTGAATCCAATAAATAAGTTGGTCCTAGAATTTTCACGTCAAGGAGAATGAATTTTTTTAGTTGCTTGCAACAAATCCCCTAAACTCAGAAACTGTTATGAAGAATACAAGTCAAGGCCCTAATTAGGGATAGATGAGTGTAAAAGTGCCGTCTAAACTTTTGGTCATTGCCTCTCAAACTGTTTCTTATGCTATTGTATGGCCTTCAAAACACGATTCTCTTAGGAATGGCATCCTACCTGATTAAGATGCGGGATTTATTATAGGGAACGTTCTCCCTCTTGCTTCCTGGACATGGAGCAGCCGCTTCTCAAACAACTTACACTGCTTCCTCACTGCTCTCCCCAGGACTCTTGCAATCCTCCCAGCTCTGTTTTGAGTAGTCAGCTATTTCCTTGAAGTCATTTACAGTTAAAACAGGGTTCCTAGGTTGCCAATCCTTTGGCACTAGACAGTGAGTTAATTAAACCTTATATCCTAGAGTTAAAAGAACATTTAGGGCTGGAGTGATGGTGTAGCAGCTTACGTCCTCGCCTTGAATACACCAGGATCCCATATGGGTGCCAGTTCTAATCCAGACAGCCCCACTTCCCATTCAGCTCCCTGCTTATGTCCTGGGAAAGCAGTCAAGGATGGCCCAGAGCCTTGGGACCCTGCACCCATGGGAGACCTGGAAGAAGCTCCTGGCTCATGGCTTCAAATTGGCTCAGCTCCAGCCATTGCGGTCACTTGGGGAGTAAATCACCAGATGGAAGATCTTCCTCTCTTTCCAATAAAAATAAATAAATCTAAAAACAACAACAAAAAAAGAATATTTAAGAAATCACTTGACCCTCAAGTGAACAAGATGTTCCTTACATGCAGAAATTTTCTGGAAAGTCCATATTGCATTTGGTCGTTAATGGCATGCTTCACTTCATTGTATCAAGATAAGACAGAAGACTATTGGAGGGAAACATGTCGCAATGAAAGTGAAAGTGCAATGCTGTGGAGGAATCCCCTGCCCGCCTCTTCATTATGTGTTGTTCATTTTCTTCCAGACTCACATACTTTTCCCATATACTGGGCAGCAGTGGCTGCTACAAATTCATTTAGCAATATTTAATGTGTTTTTTAATTCTAAATTAATTTTATTTTCTCTATAGCGAAGAATCCTCGAAACAAAAATAAGGAAAAGATACCATTTTAACAACACTATTTTAACATTTAGCCTATTATCTTGAAACACCACTTTTAGCATTTGGGTGCATTTGGTCATGTTTGATTGTACCACCAATGGCTTTAATCAAAATAGATCCAAATGGCATTTTTGGTTGCTTTTTCCGCTTAACATTACTTAGTAGCAATTTATATGTGAATAATGGTCTGTAAAAATATCCTTTCTTTAGGGACTACAAATCAGTGACATGTATCAATCTGTGGCCATGCCATATCCTCCAATCATGTCCCAATTGTTAACTATTGTAAAGATCAAGGTGCAGTGTACTCCTGTGGGTAGAACATTCTTTGTGTTTTGGGTTATTTAAAAGATAAAATTCTGAAGATTAAATGTCTTGTTTAGTGCATTAAAATGGTTAAATATGTGATAAGGATATCTGTTACATCACAAAGTAACAATGTCTCCAAATGAAATAATTTTAGGAGTACAAGTGGACTGAAACTGAACTTATAAAACCAGAAGAATGGGGCCTGGCGCAGTGGCCTAGTGGTTAAAGTCCTCACGTTGAATACGCCGGGATCCCATATGAGTGCCGGTTCTAATCCCGGCAGCCCCGCTTCCCTTCCAGCTCCCTGCTGGTGGCCTGGGAAAGCAGTCGAGGACAGCCCAAAGCTTTGGGACCCTATACCCGCGTGGGAGACCCGGAAGAGGCTCCTGGCTTCGGCTCGGCATAGCATCAGCTGTTGTGCTCACTTAGGGATTGAATCATTGGACGGAAGATCTTCCTCTCTATCTCTCCTCCTCTCTGTATATCTGACTTTGCAACAATAAATAAATAAATAAATAAATAAATCTTTTAAAAAAATCAGAGGAACGAATCAACGACATGAGTGTTATTTGTTAGTTGTGGTTCAGAGCCTGGTATTTACTAAGTATCAATAAGATTCTGTTCATTGCAGAAGTGAAAGCCTGAGTGTGGGCTTTGAACCTGAGCTGAGGAGTCCACATTTTGCTTCTGCCAGTTACTAGCCATGGTGCTTTTTAAACAAAGGTTTTTCTGGAATGCAAGAAAAGTCTCTTTTTGAACAAATTCCAGAAGCCTGAACCAAATTCTTTTGCAGTTTTCTGATGTGAAACCTCCTATGGAGTTCCTTAGGGTTAAGAGCAATGTCAGAAACATCTCAACAAGATATCTGGAGGCCGTGGTGTGAAACCTACAATGTGAGATTCTGCCAGCTAGGAAACCACTGCTTGCTAGAGTGCTCTTTGCAAATCAGCTTTTATCTCATTTCGTGATTGCCGACTCTTACAATTGCTGAGTCCTTCAGTGTCAACTTAGTGACCTCATCCACTGAAGGAAGCAGTGGGGCTTGTGGAATGGACGCCACACTTGGCTTTTGATAAGATGAACAACCTTGGCTGAGTAAGTAACTGCTGATGAGTGGCGATTCTCTCTTTCTAGTGTTTCATCCTGTCAGCACTTTCAGTCGTATAACAGGTGTAGCAAACAAAAGCAACATCTTTGTTCCAACTCCACTTCAATAAGGTGAATTTTTAAAGGGAAGTCTTGCGGGGAACAGGGTAAGAAGCCACAAATGACAGTTTATGTTTGGATCCCAAGACTATTGGCCAATCAAATACAGCCCTGAAGTTTAGCTCATGTACTCTATGGAATGTTTGCAAGGGGGCACAAATCTTAAAGGATTTGTTTGTTTGCTTGTTTGTTTTTGAACTTCACCTAGGGAAACTCCAGTTTTGTGGGTAAAACATATTAAGCTAATGAACAAAGAGGAAAACGGAAGCTGAGTAGGGACAAAGCAGAAGAAGGCATACGCTGGGTTCCAAACGATGTTGCAGTGTGATGGTCCACTGATTGCCGCACACCTGTGGTCTCACAATTCTGCAGATGATGCCAGAGAGGAAGGTGTACTTAGAGGTGCAGGCTTAGCAGGCTCAGATGGCATGTCTAGGATACCTGTTGGAAATGAAAGGGTTTCCTGTCAACTGAAGAGCCCGTGTAGCTCTACTAGAGCTGTCACCTGTTCTGCCTCGCTGCCCCTTCCTCCAAGGCAGAACCAAGAGGTTCCAGGAGGGGGCATTCTTATCTTTCACGAGCGTCTCTTTCCCACCACACTCCTTCCATCCCGTTCTTTTAGGAGAGAGGTGTATAGAAGATGGCATATCGGGACCAGCACTGTAGCCTAGTGACTAAAATCCTTGCCTTGCATGCACCAGGATCCCATATAGCCGCCAGTTCGTGTCCCAACTGCCTCTCTTCCCATCCAGCTCTCTACTTGTGGCCTGGGAAAGCAGTCAAGGATGGCCCAAAGCCTTGGGACCCTGCACCCGTGTGGGAGATCTGGAGGAGGCTCCTGGGCTCCTGGCTTTGCATCAGGCAGCTCCAGCCATTGTGGTGTTTGGGGAGTGAATCAATGGGATGCAGATCTTCCTCTCTGTCTCTCCTGCTCTCTGTATATCTGACTTTCCCATAAAAATCAATAAATCTAAAAAATAAAAAGGAAGATAGTATATCAGTTGGGGTGCTCCAGAGACATATAGCCACAATTGTATATAACATGAAGGGGTATTCTACGTAGTATGAAGGAAATGAAAGAATATCATACTAAACATTATATGTCATATGTTATGTAAAAGAATATTCATATTGTGCATGTGAATAAAAATGCATATTTATGAGCAAGCAAGAGAGATTTGTTCCAAGCACTTGTTTTGGACGATTATGAAAGGCCTGGTAAGTCTGAAATCAGACAGCAGGCTGATGGGCTGGAAATTCTTTGGTGGGAGCTGATACTGATGTTGTTTTTTAAAAAATATTTAATTTTAGTTCCCATTTCTGTGAAAATTTTTCAAGTTTTTATGTATTTGAAAGATAGAGAAACAGGCTGAAAGAGACCTCCCTTCTGTCGCTGATTCATAACCTGGATGCCTACAACAGCCAGAACTGGGCCAGGTCTACACCTGGAGTGGAGGATTCAAGCTGGGTCTCCCGCCAGGGTGGCAAGGGCTCAGCTACTCCAATCATTCCCTGACTCCTTCCAAGGGTCACATGAGGAGACTGACTCAGGAGCAGAGATGACTAGACTCCAAGCGTTCCATTTTGCGAACCCCTAACGCTGAACTCTGAAAGCAAGTTGCTTACCTTCTCAGAGAAACCTGTTGCTTGTAAGAACTTTAAGGTGAAGGGATAAAGCCCACTTGTTTATCAAAGATCATTTCCTTAACTTAAAGTCAATTGACATAAGCACATCTACAAACATACCTTTAGAGCAACACCCCAATAACTGAGTGATTAATTACGCGGATATACCAGCAAAGCCACATTCGGTCATAAAATTGGCCATTATAAAATAGACTAGGAATACACTTTTTCAACTGAATTATGAGAGACATCCATGAAGTGGGCTGATATTAAAGCATTGGACATTTTTGTGGCAATTGTCCACTCAGTTTCTCCCTGAGGCCATCCGGCAAGACTTCCCTCAGTTCTGGACATTCAGCAACTGCAGGCGACTCTTGTAGTTTTGTTCTCCCTGCATAACTTC